AGAACTCACTTGGGCGCTATCGCAAGATAAGGGGCATCCTATATGAGTAATCCTAGAAGGAAGCTGGAACTTGATGAAAGATGAAAAAGCTTACACACCCTGAAGACTCACTTCCTCCGCTTGAGGCTCAGTACCGATTTCAACAAGAAAGAGGTGATTTACGGTTTTCAAATGCACTGACACCACTATGCCCTGTATCTTGCGATAGCGCCCTCATTGGTTCTGACAAATCTGCAGCTTTTATTACTCTCCAATATTAGAGCGTTCAACTACCTGTCAATTTTTTAGTGAATGAGATCTGGTAAATAACAAAACTATTTATGAAACTTGATCCCTACCCTGAACCATATGTTCCTTACTCAGAAATACGACGGTAGACAGGCCATTACCGTTTACATAGCCTTTTCCAAATTCCGAATGCTCATTCTTTTTGCAAGAAACAACATTATCACTATTGATTAATTGGTATTATTGTTTGACTGGTAAACACATTGGTAGATGTAAAATTTCGGAATCCCGTCACAATCTCGACACTTTCTCTACAGCCGTCGACCAAACAAACCTGTAACGTAATGCCTTCATCGCTGGCGGCTAGCTGCGCAATTTGACTCGACGCTATTTGTAGTTGTTCCAGCAGTAATTGTGTGTGGGTGGAGTTACCTGATGATGTCGGTAGAGGCACTCTGGAAAATCAACGCTGTAGATTACGGTAAGTGATACCGTAACCCTATGACAGATACTCACACTGACGCCTGACGACCAGTGATACAGTGCAATGCGTACTGCACAAGAGCACACTGCTTATGTTGCAAAGCAAGAAAGTCAATGGATTCCTCGTCGGCGCCAAACGATGACCGTGCCAAACGAAGCCACGCTTGACAAGCGCGTGAGATTCCAAAGTCGCATGCTATCAGCTAGAAACAATTTTACTTTTTGCACGAGTTCAATTCTAACAGTAAGTGGGGAGTAGAGCTGGAGCAGCGATCAAAGAAATCAGCAACGACGCACTTCTGCAGATCAAGAGTTCCCCTTAGAAAAACGCACTACCTTCCATCACTACAGAACACCTGGCTAATCATAGCCTTTTCACATTCGAACCTTGAGCGCCTCTATGATCCATATGACAGACCCAATGCGCATTCAAAGGCGTCCACAATCCTAGGTGAAAGTCATGTGCGCGGCGCTTTCCGAAGAAATCCACTTCTGTCCAATATTCATATTTTTCACAGCCCACGCCTGAATAGGCGAAGAAAAACGGTCATGTTGACACATGGGAATCGGGTCTGCCTTCTTTTCACTTTTCAAACTAATTCCTCCTTATGGTGAAGAGCCAGGCGACACTATGAGGTATTGAATGCCCAAAAATTGCAAACCAGAAAAGCTTACATTCACAGCATTACAAAACTACTACCTTTTGTTTACTACATGTCAGGAGGTAATTAAGCAAACCCTGAAAGTGCAAGGTTAGACCAAAGGTTGAAGCATTTTTGCGTCTTTCTTTTTTTTCAAACTTTACACTAAAGGGCAAAGACGACCATAAAGTTCGGCACTGATCAAGCCCTCTTGGGATGCGCCACGTATTTTCTTCCACTCATAGTCGTGACACCTGAGGGCGATCTGGCCTACACATTGATTTGGGAGAAAAGACAGCCGACGCACAAAACAGCATTTTTATCCTTCCAAAGAAGTCCAGTACCAATTGGAGACACAAAGCGGCGGATTGCTTGGTTGGTTTGAAGAGATCCGATGTAAGACTTGATTCTGAAAGCATGCGGCGAATGACGTCCCTCGCCGCTACATCACCCCATCCCAGTCCTTATTACAGAAAAAAATGAGAGAAAGAGGAAGAAAAAATGAAAAGAAAAATGTGAAAAGAAGGAACTTTGAGCCTTCAGAACAGAATTCTTTTTCCTGTTTGATAATCACTTACCGCTTTCTTCACACGGAAAACCACTGCCGTTGAGAGCGGATGTTTGCACCAATTCAACGTCGGACTAATTGCACTAGCGATTTGCAACGCAGCATCAGACGAATACAGTAGGCAAGCCACCCAATCGCTTGGAAATGACAGTGCTGCATCATGTTGAGAGCTTTGCGCCAAAGACTGCAATGAAATAAGTAGATTACATCCTAGCTCAATACACTGAATCTCACCTTTAAAATCGAATGAACCCTATATAAGTGTTTATTCTGTTCAAACAAAGCTGCAACAGAGAATTCGCTAAGTTGACTGGCAGCCAGACTCTGCAGGGCTTGAATCCATTCGCAGTTTTCAAGGGAGAGTCTCTGAACATCCAGAATTCGAAGAAAATCCATCACAAAAGTCTGCTAACCTGTAATCTACTATAACAGTTCTTGTACTGCACAAGAAGGAGTGTTCGCCGATCTCTTAAAGACCAATCGGATCACTATCAAATCAGAGAAAGCCATCTACGAGTTTACCACAAAAGAGAACATTCCTTATTGCTCCTATTAGCTACTCCAATTGCTAGAGATGACAATGCCGTACTTATCAGAAAGGTGCCGAGTCACGAAAACCTGCCTGAACCTGCCCTAGCGCTTCCCGGGCGTTGTGCTCATAGCGCTGCTGAAATAAAGTGGGGGTTGTGTTTTTAGTGTGTGCAAGTGGCGGCGTTTACTATGCTCACGGTTTGAAAGTCCAATTTCTACTTGAGTCGCGCCAAGGCGCACAAGCTCTCAATCCCTCCTCGGTTAGCTACTTGGTGTCAGATTTGCCTGGAAGTTAGAAAGATTGACTTGCACATTGGCAGGTCTTCACAACCTATTTATAGGCCTAATCGCTTTCAAGTATCGTTTGGAGGGAAATGTTGGTGAGTTGGAGTGTCTAGACTGGTCAAAATCGTACACTAGAGAAACAATTACGGCGGTGAGGGTGGTAGTGAGAGGGTAGGGGCTTCACATGAGAATGTGTGACTTACTTGAGCTCAGTCTTTTGAACCGCCTCAGTTTGCGCCGGCCTGTGCTCTCTCGCCTGAACACGGTCACGACTACTGGTTCTCATACATTCAGACTTTGCCATTCTGTAATTGGCTCATTCACCGCACCCATCCCCCTCCAAGGCTAAGTTTTAGGACTTTCACCGTCCTCCTTGGGATTGGCGAGCCGAGCCATGCACCATTCTCATATCGTCACTCCTCTAGCCATTCGCGGTAGGACCACTGAGGAAAGTTCAGGTAGTCCGTAAATCCGCAGGAGGGCACCCTCCCAAGGCTGGTGGTGAAGGTCATACCGTGGTCGCCTAAGAGCGAGGCGAGACAATTTCAAAATTTTTCCAGCGGTGGTGGCTGAAGCTTGTTCCATCCGGAGTCTGAAGAGTATCGCCCCTCCGCATAACTTCGCAAGCTCGAATTCAAGTCGGTGATTGCCTGCGGCTCCACGCTGGCGTATCAGCTCGCGAGGACAGACGTCCCTTGGTGACTTTCAAACTCTCTGCCTTCTTGCCACAATCGTGAAGATGTTCAACGAGCCGATAGTACTCCTCGTCGATGTTTTCGATGACGGAATCCTCCCATAAGCTGACAAGAAGTGATCCCAGTTGATGACTGTCCTGGGGCTTCGCTTCCTGAACTTCGCGGCTCTTTAGCCTATGAAGAACTACCGTATATTATGGCGAGAGCTGAAATAAAAGATCAAGAAATGATTTCTCACATCAGTACAGATAGCTTCCAAGATTTGGTAATGCTGCTCTCCTCCAGTGACCATTTCGAAATGCAACTCGAGCGATGACGTATCGATCAA